CTTCCAACTATATGGATACTAATGCAACCATTATAGTTCTACTCTGAGTTCTGACACCAGCCTTGTCACCCAGCTTGCGCCGGGAGCGCTGACGACTCTTGTCTCGACCATTACCAGCCTTGTTCCCTCACTTGGCTCGCTCAACCTTACCTCTCTCCTCAGCTCTATCCTCGGTCTCCTTCAGTTGTAGCGGCGGATTGACAACCGCTAACCGGCCCCTGCGGGCGTTTGGGCAATCGAGAGCCTATCTTTTCAAAAAAAAATTGTTTCTAAATGCTCTCGCTATTACCGTTGGGACTACCGAATGTCATTATTTTTGTGTTTTCCTTTGGTTTTCTTATGGACATTGTTACTACGATTTTAGATAAAAACACGCTCCTTGATCAAATATCTATTTGAGTCGCACCAAGCTCTGGGGAGTATACGCAAAAAAGCAAGTCAATATACACGCCACTGTGGTTTCAGCCTAATTTCCTTCGATGTTATGAGGCAATCAAGCTTACTCATTCAAAACTCTTCATCCCAATACAGAAGAATTGTTTTGACCCAAACAAGTGATGCTCGAACGAGATGTGTAGCTATGTTTATTTCTAGTAGCAGAATTAAGCGTCACTGACAGTTACACTATGATATAAGTAGTGAAGTACACGAGGACGATAGCGGACTCCATATGGTAGAGCATATTCCAGATTCAGAGCTAGATATGCTCGTTGTATTTCCACCCGCATATACTGTAGGATTTGTGTAGGATGACGCTCCAGTGTCAACTTTGGGGACACCGGTATGCGAAACACCTACTTACCAGTCGGCATGTTCATAATGACGAGTGAACTCTACGAGATCTGTATGCTTATTGTCAGCAAACATGAATGATCAATAACAATAGCCGGTCGAGTGAATCGTACATATGTATTCCCAACTCGATACTAGACCGGGATGTCTATTCAAGGCGGAAATCCCATTCTGACGACCGATGGAACTCGGCGTGCACTTTATCAGTCCAAACCGAAGACCATCTTTCGAGATATTGAGGCAGGACTATTACCCTATGAAAGATTTCTTCCTGTAAAGCCATCCAAAGAGTCGCACGCCTTCCTCCCCCGAGGGCGTTTGGGCGCCTCCAATTGTCCATATACTCCTCATAACGTTCACCGACGCATAGTTCAACAGTGCAGGACAACCGCAGTTCCTGCTCTCTCTTCAGGAGCATAGCGACGAGCTGTGTTGTTTCAATATCCTTGGTAAGAACGGATTTGCCAGAACAAGCTAACGTCTTGAGGTTGGGCCAGTAGATGACGTTGTTGGATTCTAGTAGGCACGCAAAGATATTCTTCGACGTCGGTAGGATGCCTGGTTCGCGTAAATCCATAAACCGTGCCGAGTAAGCGCTGACATGAAACATGACATTAATCGCACTCCGTGTCGCGTGCGCGAAGCGCGAGAAAATCTGGGCACTGTGAGGTTCATCGAAAGCTTCGCAATTCAAAAAGCAAAGAGTTCGCAGAGAAGGGAGGTATGGAAGCCCAGGAGAGTCCGACGAGTCTTCCGGAGGAAATAACCAGTGAGATATGTTGGCACCCTTGAGGACAAGTAGTTCTAGAACGGGAGCCTTTAAAATACCCCATATGTAGGTCAGAATTTCGTTATCCATACACCTTAGATGACGAAGATTCGGAGCGACAATGACTGGCATTGGGCCCGCTTGATTCGACGTAAGTATGTAGTCTGCTAGTGTGAGACTTGCAAGGTTGGGCAATTGCAAGATAGCGCAGAAAGACCGCCGCGTTATGGCGCGTGCAAACCGAGCATTGCTTGATGAGTCGAATTGAAGGACTGTGAGATTGGAAACTGCTGGCCAGCATAGGTTAGAAAAGGCAAGGTCGACCCGCATCGAAGTCAACTTGGGTGCTCGTCTGTTTTTGAATATCCTCCCAGGATGGCCTGGCCATTGAACAGTACAGTCTGTGTTTGGTAGATTGTCGCAATATAGTGTTATTTCGAATGTCTCTAAATTCTTGGCGTCAAAAGGACCGATGGAGCGAAAGAAAACACTTGGGTCTGCGTCCCCCCCCTCCAAGCGGACCGAGAAACGGCGCCAGCGCGCAGCGTGAGGTAAAAGGATCGACATTATCATGGAAATCTGAGGATAGTGTTGCTTGTAGATATCGAGCCAGATGTCCAGTGGGCGTTCTCGGGACCTTGCCAGATACATAGGCAGCCGCAACTCTCTATAGCCCCATTGACGGCACCTATAGTTAAATGTCGACCAAAGCTCAGAGTATCCATGGGCCAGTACGCGCCATAAGTGACAAACATGGGAGAGGTCCATCTCGATCGTCCGGCAATTGTTGCAAATAGTGCGGGTAATATCCCTGTCATCATCGCAATGGTCCCAGCCCAAGTCTTCCTCGTCGTTACGAATGTCGCGGACCTCGAAGCGGCAAGTATAGTAAGCATATTCGAAGATCAAAAGGAGTACTTCATTCGGGAGCGAGAAGATCGGTGTTTGACTGTTGTGCGCCTGCCCATATTCCAACGTGAGACGGCTTATTTCCCCATCAATTTGGGACAGTTTCTCGGAGAGTTGTTCACGTTCACGTTGAAGGTTTTGAAGATGCTCGAATTCCCTCTGGGTGAGCTCGTCCGGCATAGCCGAGCTCCTAGGTTCCGCACAAGAAATGACGAGATAAAGATTAGTTTGACGAAATGAGGTGTGATACGGACGCCATACCAATGTGCTTAAAATGGTGAGGTGTCGATGGACGAGTGGCAATTTTTGATTTAAGTTAGAAATTAGGTGGATGATCAGAGTCTCAGGTCAGGTCGTTATTTATGTTGCATTGCCGAGTGGATACCTTTGAGAGGGACTGCACAAAGGGAGGGCGGATTTCATTGTTTGAGCAGTTTGAACACGCCAATAACCATTGTGTGAAGAACGTACCTTGGGGGAAATAGTGCGTTTCAAAGCAGCTATAGAAGATGCCGATAAGTAGAATCAGTTGCGCCTGCGCCAGTGTTGCTGCGTGATGATTCATGAATCGGGCTTGTTAACGATGGGTACATGGTCGACGGCAAACTCGTGTGGCTCTTACGCTCGTGCACGACTTCACTTCCGGAAGATAAGTGTACGGTGAGGCTATCGAACACTCCGTGAAAGGGTTTGCACTGACGATGAACAGCAGTGAATTCCACGCGTCCTTCTGCATACAGCTCCGAGATCGCGAGAATGAGGGAGGGAAACAATAATAATAACAGTATTTCATGATGAGGAAGGTGTCGTTGAATTTCAAACACGTCGAGCAATGAGAACAGACATACGTGGTGGCGACCCTGATGGTGGAGAGATCAAGGAGAGATTCAAGGCGTTCGCGCCAGCAGACGCCGTCAGGCACACCGGCAGATGCCGGCTTCACCTGGACCATCCGTGCAAGTTGAAAAAACCGATTTCAAACACCTTCCGTGGACACTTGAGAGTCCAATCACAGCTCCATCTGGGTCCATTATCTGTTTCAGCTCTCCCACTTCTGTGAACGGGTACCGCAGGCGACAACGGCCGATTCAAGTCCAGAATACTACATGAAAAATAATTCCGACACAACGCCTCACAACGCTCGAACTCGATTCAATGAACTTAGATTGGCAGTGAACGCAAGAAATTCGGAGACATCAAACTCAAGGGAGCCGACCAGAGCTGACCTCAAGCTGGCCTGCAACTACGGACTTGCCAAGCCGATGACGACGATATAGCCTTGCCGACAGGGGACTTGTCGCGTCGAGGCTTGGCAGAAGGCTGTGATATATAGTGCCCCCAAAAGCCCCTCCAGCACCCAGTAATCTCTCGCCGCAACCCGTTATTCATTAACATTCTAGCCATGGATATCCTAAAGAACCTCCAAAGTCTTGCCCTCGACGACAAGAAAGAAACGGGACACAGCGCGCCGCCTGTGGCGACAGCCGCTACCGCAGCGCCAGCTCACGAGTCTATCTTCGACAAGATCGGCGACGCACTGGGCGGATCGCATCCTGCTCCTCCTCCCGCCCCCGTCCCTGTCGCTGTCCCAGTCCATGAGCAGTCTAGTGCTGATAAACTGCTTGCCAAGATCGGCGAATCGTTCAGCGGCAAGGCAGCCGCCCCAGCGCCCGTTACCGCTCCCGCACCCACGCCAAAGAAAGATGAGAGCATCCTCCACAAGATCGGCGACGCGCTGGGTGGTTCGCACCCCTCCCCCGTGGCTGCGCCTGCGCCCGCCCCAGTTCCCGAGAAATCTGGAGCAGATAACATTTTTTCGAAGATCGGCGAATCTTTCAGCGGAAAGCACGCGGCGCCGGTACCCGCACCGCGGGAGGACGAGAGCATCTTCGACAAGATCAGCGACGCGGTGTCGGGTCACAAGACTGTGGCCCCTGCGAAGGAGGAGAACCTGATCGAAAAGTTGTCGACAGTCATCTTGAGCAAGCACGAAGCGCCCGTCGCGACGCACGAAAGCATCTCGGACAACATTAACTCCGCCCTCGGAGGCGGAAAGAAGAGCGAACTCGAGGAGGGTAAGCTGGACAAAGGTGAGCAGCGCGCATGTATTTTCAGTGTGATGTTAATTGGGAGTGATGCGTCTTTTGTGCGTGTAGCCATTGACTTCGTACAAGAACACGTCCTCAAGGATGGTCCTCAAAACAACGAGTCCGCACTGGAACAGGCAAAGGACAGCACCATCGCGGATACAATTAGGGCTGCTATTGGCCACTCGAAGAAGTGAAATCATGTACTGAGGGAAGGGTTCACCGTTCAACGCGGTTCGATATTCAGAGGATATTTGAAGGTCACGTCGAAGTAGACATACCTACCATATAGGCGGGCAATATATCCATTTTCGGATTGGTAGGATGCCTCAGCTGAGAGCGACTTGCAGCCTGCGAGTCGGTGAAAATTAGTGAAATAGTAGATTTTGAACATGAATAATAGAGACACCCCGAGGATAACTTGAGAGAATTACGAGGTATACGCCTCCTTGGCTCAGTTGGCTAGAGCGCAGGTCTCATATCTGAAATATGAGTAACGAACGTTATGTAATCCTGAGGTCGCAAGTTCGAGCCTTGCAGGGGGCACTTGTTTTGTGCTGGGTCACTAAGTCACTCGGAACTACTACTAGCAAATGCAATAACGCCAATTTTTTCGAGGCTCGAGCTCCTCAACTTCTCGGTTCTCGTTCTGAAGTTCCACGTTGCCCAACATTCATGACAACTCTCTCAATGACGGTGAAGTTTGAACTTGAACGTGGGTGATTGGGTACTACTTTTCTGCTTGAATCCGCGAATTTCAGAGAAACAATTGAGTGCAAGCATGAAATAGATATCGCTCAAATTATTTTGTGTAAGTTTCCTCCACAGTCCCTAAATCACTTATCACTTCAAGTTTCAATGGAGAACTTACGACCAAGAAGCTGCACAGCGTATGTAGTGTGAGGAATATGGAATGTATTGAGAACAATTAATAGGATAAAGGTATCATTTCTCTGAAGGATCAATATTAAGCGCTCAGCGACGAACCAAACCTGCTAAGAAAGCGTCCACTTACTAGCATACAACCTAACTTTACACAGGTACATTGCACTAGAGCTCTTCTTCGCCGCGCTTCACTCTCTGCCGTGGAGTCTCCACCTGGACATACAGCACGCCGTGCATTCCCTCAAGCCCGTTCAGTACATCATTCTCCACATTCGCCCACTCCTCCTTCGGCACGCTGAAGAGATGCACGTCGGCGAGCTCGCCGACCTGGCCCTCGTACTTCAGGCTGGGGTACATCGCGCTCAGCGCATCGGGCGTGGCTAGGAATGGCGAGTTGTGCGCTACGTTCACGGAGAGATAGGTGTGCGTGTTGTGATTCATACGCAGAGGCATCGCGCGTCGGTCGGGATGGATGTTGGATGTTGGATGCGGACGAGATTGTGGAGGGTCCGACTCGCTCAACATGGTTGATGGCGACATAGAGCGTGATGTCATGTCCCAAAATAGATCGTGGAACGGGCGATTCCGAGGCTCGACGTATCGTTTCCCTCTCGCTGCCATCCCTTTATCTCGACGCAGCCCTTACGCGAACGATTTATCCTTGTCGAGCGTCAAGAGCATCAAACTGCCTGATCATCTCAGTACTTATGTTCTTACGCTGGGCATGGTAAGTATCATCTGGACCTGCCGGTATGTCGCCACTCGATATAGTCCGCTCCACTGTACACGTTGTGGCTCTAAGCTCCCGCGATTCCGGAACTGCAAAAGATGGTTTTTTCGGAGGCTTGAACAATGAAAGCTGCCTGAAATGGCATTATTAGGCGGCGCCGCGTGAGGCCGGGGTCCGTACACGACCGCTCTAATGGCGCAGAAAACTCGAGAGCGGCGGGTCGCTTCTTGCTGCATCTTGGACGCTCGGAGTGCGCTGACCAGAGGAATGAAAGACCGTTGAAGGGTAGAATTTTCGAGAGTCATTGTCCGGCCTCGACCGACAGCGACCGACGCCCCGAGCGGCATCAAAAGTTGCCGTTTCAAGGATCTTCCAGCTCTCCTGGTTACCATGCTCAGTTTTCGAGTCTGAACCTGGGATGGATGCGTCCTTGCCGATTTATGTGATGCGCTGGTACGGCTGTTGCACGGCATGTACATGCTTCGCAGACTCCAGCGCGCGTACGGCGTACACGCGACGCAGATCAGCGGATGTCGCAACTGAATCTTCGCATTACACTAGATTACACTGCGGCGCCCATCTCCTTCCCTTACACTGCCCCCAGGCGCATTTTCTCCCATCCTGCTGGGTTGGATACGGTCGGGCAGAATAATTGGAGGTCGCTGCAGGTCCCAGGACCTACAGACAACGCTGGTGCATCCATCCGTCAACGTGCATCGCATTTTCCATGAATAAACTCGAGCTAAAGTAGCCGAGCAGACTACTTGCCCTACGGATCAATCTGGGCATCCGCGTCTGGCATTTCTGTGATGGTCGACATTTCAAAAACAAAAGTACAAATTTCACCGTTGGACTTGTACAGCGAGGCACAGTCGCTTTCCAGCGGGCCTGGGTGAGCAGACTAAGATTATCGATTCAAAGAGCACTATTCTTATATCCGTTTACTCCTAGTGGGCCCGACTATGTATGACCAGCGCTCTTTGACCATGGTCTCGACGGTGCCAAATTTGAAAGTGATTGGAATCAAACACATAAACTGATGGGGACGTAAATCCATCAGCGAACTGCCTCGCCCCGGGTTGCGTGGTGCAGGGGTCTGAAACTGCCCGATTTTTCACAAACATGAGCAATCTGGAGACGAGTATTTATACCAGCGTTGCATGGTCCGCTTTTTCCCCAAGCCAGGTGCTCTCCACTCAAGTGGGTTGATTCCTTTGTGTCCGACGTTTCCTATACTGACCGCCGTTCTTCCTTCAGATCTCAGGCCGGTCCTTTGATTTTTTCTTCACGACAACCAAAAAACTTCCTTGTGCGCCTCGTCTCTATGCTTCCTTTGGCATCGTTGAGCTAACATTTCTGTGTAGCGTTTTCAAACCTCACTCTCAACACCACCTTTCAATCAACATGCAGCTCACTCTTAACTTCGTTATCCTCGCTACCGCTCTTACCAGCGTCGTCGCTGTTCCCCTGCGTTCCCGTAACGTGGAGATCAGTGCGCGCGAAGTTGACTTGACCGAGTACGATGCCCGCGACTACGCGGACATGTATCTCGATGCACGGGATGTGGCAGCTGTAAGCTTTCTTCAGTGCATCGTAAAGTATCTTCATGGCTTACCTTTGGTTTTAATAGGCACCTCCTGCTGCTGCTACCGCGTCTCTGTCTGCGACTGCGACTTCGTCGGCCGTCCCGAGTCCCACTGGCACCGCCGTGGCTTCTACGGGCACGGGCAAACCGCTGGTCATCCACACCATTCCTGAGGACATGCAGCACATGACCGCTGAGGAGCGCAAGGCTGCGTACACCAAAGCCTTGGCCGACCCTTCGGACCCCCACCACGCCGCCGCCGAGCAGTGGGTTGCATACAAGAAGGCCCTCGCTGACCCCAAGAGCCCCGGCCACGCCGCTGCCCTTCGCCAGCACAAGTTTAAGCAGGCGTTCTTCGACCCCAAGGCCCCTGGTCACCAAGCCGCAGTCGACGCGTACAAGCGCAAGCAGATCCGCGACCGTGCGCTGAAGAATAAGGCCGACCCGCTCCACAAGGCGGCTGTCGCTCACGCTTTGAAGAAGGAGCGTCTGCACAAGGCGCTTGAGGACAAGACCGACCCCCTGCACCAGAAGGCCCTTGCGCACCAGGCGAAGAAGGACAAGTACGTCGCAGCGTTGAGCGACAAGAGTGACCCGCTTCACAAGGCTGCTCTTGCCCACGCCCAGCGCCTGCACAAGGTCACCAAGAAGGAAGTGAAGAAGGAGAAGAAGGCCGCCCGCAAGGAGAGGCTCGCTGGCCCCTCGTCGAGGAAGACCGAAACGGATCTCGCGACCGGCGAGGCTCTTCCTCACCGCCACCACCACAGTCTCAATGGTGAGCGCGGCAGCGAAAGCCGCCTCGACGCCGAGGGCCTCCCCCGTCACCACCGCCACCTGTACGAGGGAGAGGGTGCTGGTGAATTCCGTCACCGCCACCGCCTTGGCGCCGACTCCTTGGGCTCCGACGCCAGCCTGAACAGTCAGTCCCACTTCCGGGCTGATCGCCACGCCGATTCGTTGAAGGCATCCGCTCCTGGAAGCTCTACCCCGTCGACTGATAAGCTGGCTGCTGGCACCGGACCTAAGGTTGGCACTTCTTCCACGTCCACCAAGCCCAAAGAGGTTGAGGAGTACGCCTGGTAAATGTTCGGAGTAGATACCCACTGCATGAATTTGAGTAGTAGATTTGAATAATATGGGATTGTTGTCTGCCAGATACTCTTTCACGAGGCAAGAATTCGCACGAGCAAGACAATAGCTGTGGGAGTGAGGATGTAAAGTGATCGAAAGCGGAGCCACTCCGAGTCATTGAGCTACGCCCAGCAGAAATGATGTGCACTCGATTGTTCCTCTCCCTCTCCGCCTTATCATTCCATCGTCCCTCCTGCATGCCATGGACACACATCTCCTCGAGTCCCAAGTCGGCGGCCACGCCGGTGTAATGACCACGGAGGACGGATCGCTCATTATCAAACCCGCGATGCTCCAGGAGCTTGAGTTCTACCAGGCGCTCCAGAGCAACAGCGCGCTCGCCGCGCTGCGCCCGTACACACCGAACTTCCTCGGCACGCTCAAGCTCCAGGGCACGATCGATCCCGCAGAGAAGGACGCGGCGGAGGGCCTCGTCAAGCTACAGCCCGCAATGGACCAGAAAGATGAGTCGCCACCCGAGTAACCGCGCGTGCCGATGTTGAACGCACTGCCATCTCCACAATCCATCGTGCTCGAGAACCTGACGTTCCCGTTCCTGCGGCCGAACATCCTCGACGTCAAGCTCGGCACCGTGCTCTACGCCGAGGGCGCATCGCCGGAGAAGATCGCGCGCATGGAAAAGACCGCGCAGGAGACGACGTCGGCGACGACTGGGATACGCCTCACTGGATTCCAAGTGCGCGCTTTTCTCTGCGCGCCCGGAATAGATTGCTGAGCGCTCGCAGGTGTACGATAACATCACGGGGAAGCCCGTGAACACGCCCAAGGCGTACGGCAAGAGCATCAGGCCTGCGGACCTCTCTGACGGGATCGCAAACTTCTTCCCGGTCGGGACGTTCGTCCCGCCGTCGCTGCAGACGGTTATGTCTTCGAGCGGGCTGCCGCGCGACACGCTGATACTTGTGCTGCGCGCGATCCGCGCGGAGGTCGCCGCGATCCGCGAGGTCCTCGCGACGCTCGAGTTCCGCATGGTCGGCGGAAGCCTGCTCATTATCTACGAGGCGGAGTGGGCACGCGCAGCCGAGTCGATCAAGAAGTATCTGGAGCACGAGGAGGAAGAGATCCTCGCGGAGGAGGAGGAGGAGGAGGACGATGAGGAAGACGACGAGGACGAAGATCCGGAGATAAAACTGGGCCCACCACTTCTGGTTAAGCTCATTGACTTTGCGCATACTGCTTTGAAGCCTGGAGAAG